TATATATATATATATATATATATATATATATATATATATATATATATATATATATATATATATATATATATGGTTCATGCGAAAATGCAAATAATCTATGAAAACACGAAAACAATAAAAACTTATGAGATTATGTCACATCAACATTATATTTTTGACAATAATTCATCAAAACTTTGAAATACATTATGATAATCGATAATAGATTCAAAATTGTTTCGTGTTCTCAAACTATTATTTTTGACATTTTTATTATGAAAACGTGAATTTAAAAATGATTAAGGATGTGAAAAAAAAAGTATATGTTAAAAACATTTTTAAATATAGTATCATAACAGATTTAATGTAAACTTATTATCTTTAATTTATTGCTAATAAATTTATTTTTTATAGTACATGTGTTTGATTTTTATAAGATAAATCTGTTTTCGCGTTTTCGCATGAACCTACTTATATATATATATATATATATATATATATATATATATATATATATATTATATATGGGAAAAGTGAATATACCCTTAATGGGATATAAACTTAAGTACCCGAAATCACCATAATTAGTCGTTTTGTTTGATATATATTCATTATAATGTTACTAAACTTCAACGCTAACTTGATTTACTTTACATATTTTCAAAATTTCAGTATTATTTTCCTCTTATATCATATCTTTTTGCCGAACAACTACTTAGCTATATATATATTATAGATGAAAATGAAAATTATGTAAGACAAAGATAAATGTGAAATTTATAAAAATCTTGGAAGTAGATCAAGTTAGACGTTGAATTATAACAACATACATACATACATATATATATATATATATATATATATATATATATATATATATAATTTCGGGTGATGACTCTTTTTAAAGTGAGAACTCGTGTTGACACCTTAAAAATTGATTATATATATATATATATATATATATATATATATATATATATATATATATATATATAATACAAATCATTAGAATCAAGGATAGTACTACATCAGATATAAAAGAAATTGGAAAAAAAAAAGAAATTGGTCATTAAAATTGTAGCATGAATCATTTTTATGATGCATGATTCAGTTTTTATGGTCAATGATTCAACTTTAATGATGCAAAAAAAAATCAAATTTTTTTTCTCTCGGATATAATAGTATGCTCGCTTTTTTTATTTGTATTTTTTAAGATTTTTTTTTCAATTTTTTTAAGATGTTCTTATATGTTCCCATTTTAAAAAGAGTCATCACAGGGACCGAACCCTATATATATATATATATATATATATATATATATATATATATATATATATATATATATATATATAATATATATATATATATATATATATATATATATAAAAGATGAAATAGGAACACAAAAAAAATGGTATGACCCGTGAGGACAAATTTTGCTTTAAGATTAAGAAAATATATGTCCGGGATTCTACTTATTTATTGTCAAAATCTCCCGATATGATTTGACATCTTCGTAATTAATTGGAAGATTTTTATAATTTTAGAGGGTACAAGTGACAAAAGCAAAAAGATTAAAGAAAAAAGAAAAATGAAAAGACAAATTCGGTCATGTGACCTCTCCAGAACCTTAAACATGCTCCCACCCGACCATGACATCTGTTCAGCCCTTATTGGCTGGTGGGTTTTTCCCACCCGCTTAGTTTCTCGACCATAACTTTTTTTTGAAAAAAAAAATATGAAAAAACTAATGTTCTTAAAATTTAATTCTCTACAAAATGAGCAAAATCATGAAAAATTTAATATATATATATATATATATATATATATATATATATATATATATATATATATATATATATATATATATATATATATATATATATATATATATATATATAGAAAAATACCCATAATATTTTTTTGAAAAATTTAAGGAATAGTTATTCTCAGTATTCTAATGACTTTATACAAATAATTTAAAATACTAATGTGTTTTAGATACCAAACTTGATTTTTAAATATTACAAGTTTTTAACAAAAAAATGTTGAGCATAATTTGATCCAAGTAGAGATGATTCAAAATGTTTATGATTGAATATGTTTATGCTCCTTAACTTGTTATAATCAAAAATAATTTAATTCAAATATTTAATGACCTTAGTTATTATATTTTATATTATTCAAAATTTAATGATTCCAAAAATATAATGATCCAAATGTTGTTCTGAACAAAAACTTTATTTAATTCAATATATTATGATCAAAATTACTATGATCCAAAATTGTAAGATTCATAATATCATTATTAGTTAAAATACTGTGATTCAAAATTTTATAATATTATTCTTATTTCAAATTTTATAATATTTAAACATTAAAAACTCAAACCAATATTTATGATAATTTTAGTGAATAACAACAAAATGATTGTATAAATGAATTATCAAGATTTTTTATGAATCATGTTATTTTTGATTCATTTAGTGATTTATTTGTTTTGTTCACCAAAAAAATATGTAGAAAAAAATCTTTTGACTTTTCTACGAAAAAAAAATTCTTACCGGATCTCTCTCTTTCTCTCTCTCTCTCTCTCTCTCTCTATATATATATATATATATATATATATATATATATATATATATATATATATGTGTGTGTGTGTGTGTGTGATAGGCCTGTTTTTTAGATTGTGAAACCATATTTTCTTGTGAATAGTATTGTTAAGTTACTTTACTTTCCAATATTCAAAAGTATATAATTTTTTAATATCACACATATTATATATTTACGAACAATAGAATATTATAATATTTAATTGAAAAAAAAAATGATTTAACAGTCTCACAAGATTAAAACCGTCTACTATTAAATTTAAATCCCTTAATTTATTTGGTTTGTTTTGCAGTCTAATGAAATGCAGTCAAACTTTGCTACTAATTGTGTGGATCACTCACATCCAGGTATCTTCAAACACAACCATAATATTATTCCATTAATCTTTATAGATAGGATTTTATCACGACTAAGTAGTAGAAATGTTGGTTTAATGTATATTTGCATCATAGCCAAAAAAAAAAAAAATGATGCTTTAACAAAGCTGTAACTTGAACGATGATATCACTATCCACTAAAGACACTTGTCAAAATGTACCATACATGTAACGCAATATATGCAACTTACTTAATGCTTAAACTATAACTGCAAAAAAAAAAAAAAAACACTTGCACGTTTTTCACAATGAGTAGCAACACAGTTATATCTATTTACTTATAATACCATCTAAGGTACACTTACATTATTGACCAAAAGTAACAATATGTAACTTGAAATAGTAAAACATGCCTTATCTATTAAATATATCCTCAATTGTAGGAGATTGACCTATAAATGACGCAATCTTAAAGGAAATGTCCATAACAACTAACGATCGTGACAAAAATTTTCTTCTTATATTTAATATAAGAATAATTTTTTTTAAGCCAAATGGCAGTTTCTTAGAGCTGCTCAATTTTTTTTTTTTTTCCAACCTAAACTTCTCCATCTCTGTTTACACATATACTATCCATTTATACACGTTCCATTAACCGTGCATTTCAAATTCCTAAAACCTATAAGGCATCAAAAAAGATATAATTACTATTATTATGTAATCCCTGCAAACAAGGCATCAAATTAGTGGACATATAAACTCAAACTAAAAAAAAAAAAATTGTTAATGGCAATCTCTCATGTATTTTAATATGATAACTACCAAAGACATGGCCCTTACTATTTATGGATATACATTGAATATATAATATTTTATATGACAAATAAAAATTCCTTTATCTAAGGGATTAATATTTCGTCTAATATACCCCCACAGTCGAATCGGGAGAGCGGCGGACATTGAGATTGCTCTTGAAGTCATTGAAAAAGTACGAGAGGTAACCCTTTAGTGAAGATATCAGCTACTTTGTAACGTAAGGTAATATGAAATACACAAACTTGACCGTGAGCGACTTTCTCTCGAATAAAATGAATATCAATTTCAATATGTTTGGATCTCTGATGTTGAACCGGGTTGCACGGCAAGTAGACATCGCTTACATTGTCACAGTATACTAATGTAGCTTTGGCCTGTGGAAGATGGAGTTCCAATAGAAGATTTTGGATCTAACAAGTTTCTGAAAGTACATTGACTCCGTGATATACTGCTTTGGCGCTCGAACGAGATATAGTCCTTTGTCATTTGGATGACCATGAAATGAGATTGTCTCCCAAGTAGACGCAATAACTAGAAGGTTACCTTCGTGTATCCGGACACCCTGCCCAATCGGCATTCGTAGAAGCTAGAAGTAATGTGAGGGGCGACTTGGAGAGATGCAAGACGTGATGTATGGTACCTTGGATATAACACAAAATTTGTTTCAAGGCATTGAAGTGTGTTGTGCTTAGAGTATGCATATGCATACATACTTGTTGAACCATATAACTGTGACATCCCCATTTTCACGGCCAGAAAAGACCGATTTTGTTTATGCTTTATAAAAATCAGAGTACTTCATTTTATAAAAAGGTTGCGGAATTTGTTCCCAGAAAAACACGATAAATACGTTATTAAAACATTTTCGAAGAAACGTATTTTTATTCATTTAAAACGTTTGGGATGTCATCGTTAATACAGAAACATAAGCATAAACAGAACTTACATGTATTTACACTAGTGATCTACATCTCTTTAAATCTCTCAGTGTAATGTCACTTCATTTTGTCACCTGTGGTATACATAAACTGAGTGGGTCAGGTTGGGAAACCTGGTGAGTACATAGGGTTTTCAACCCACAATAATATAATTATTATGTTCAATCAAAGAATCAACCCAATTACCCATCCCCGTTATCTTTTTTTTTTACTCTTTAAGGATTTATCCTAAGAGTCATCTATTCTTCATTCGTTTATTCCGAAGTCCCTTACTTCCAGGGTTCTAGGACTGACACTAAATCCATAGCTGCCAATGTTCGTTCATAAAGCACTAATTCCATAGCTGCTATAGTCTATTCATCGGGTACTAAATCCATAGCTACCAGTCTTTATCTAATAGGTACTAAGTCCATAGCTACCAATGTTCAACAGGTACTAAATCCATAGCTACCAACGTCTAACAGGTACTAAGTCCATAGCTACCGGTGTTTGTCCCATAGGCACTAAGTCTATAGCTGCGAATGTATACTCACATCATCTTCTATCTATCATCATTTATCTACCCATCATCATACCCAACATATTCGTATATATAAAATACGTATACAGTTTAAATCCTTTAAAACATGTATAAAACGTTCATCCAGCATAGACAGCAAGTATTCAGATAATATGCACACATAGCACGTAGTTTATATAAAATACTTCATATCTATGTGTAAGATGAAAGAGACTATGCACTCACAACACGTAAATTATATAATAAATACTTCATATCTATGTGTAAGATGAAAGGGACCATGCACTCACCTGAGAAGGTGGTGACTCGGTACTCGGACAGCGCTTCGTTTACTTTAAAATAATTTCTTTCGACGAAACCTAGTATTATCACCAATAGATTTTAGTCTATTATTCGCCGAGACTAATTAATAGTCTAGCTATTATTACTATTATATAAGCGTTAAAAAAATACTTATATAACCCATAATAATAGCCCAAGTATTTATTATATGTTCTTAATAACGTTAATATAATTAAATAAAAACTATATTAAAAATAGCGTAGGCGTAGCTCACTTACAACGGGTTTTATAGAAAACCAGGCTTTGCTTGGAGCAGCGTTTCCGAGCCGAAAAGCTCTTCTTCTCAGAGCCGTCGAGCACTCCGGGGCTTCCGCCTCGTGCTAGGGAGGTTCCCTAGGCTTTTCGGGGGATTTCGGGGCTAGAGAGAGGTTCTAGAGAGAGAGTAAAGAGAAGAAAGAATGGGAAAGGTGTGAAGAAAATGAGGGTGGGAGAGGTGGTATTTATAGGGTGAAAATGGCTGAACTTGGTGCCACATGTCACCATCTAGTGGCAAGACTTGGGGAGAAAGCAATGGCCAAGATTGTGCCACATCACCCATTTTCGCATAGCACACTTCCGACTTCTAAAATCCGTAACTTTCACATACGACCTCTGTTTTTGACGTTCTTTATATCCACGCGTAGGTAAAAATAATATCTACAACTTTCATTTTGACTCCGTCGGCTAATTCTCGACCGATCTTAAATTTAACAGTACGAGGCGTTTAGACTGTTAAATGATCGCGAAGAATTCGTAACTCCTTCATACCGACTCCGTTTTCGTCTGTATTTTTACCGTTGAGTTCCTATTAATGAGATCTTGAACTCTCATTTAGGTCACGTAAGCCAAAAACCACTCGAACTAAAATTCGAGTTTCGGGTCGTGCACTGCTAAGCCGAATCTTAGAAAAATCATAACTTCCTCATACGAAGTCAGATTTGTGTGTTCTTTTTATCGAAGCTCTTAGTTTAACATATTCTACGACTTTGGTTTAGATTGCTAAGGATAAATCTCGCTCTATCGTAAATTCACTATTTACGCTTCCCGGTGTCGTGCCGGTTTTGCCGTAAAACTTCGACGGGCCATAACTTCTTCGTTATAACTCGGATTTCGGCGTTCTTTATATGTACGGAAACCTTGTGACATATTCTACAATTTGGTTAAGATTATTTTTTCTAAATAATCTTTTGTCAAAAAGTCATTTTCAACCCATATTGCCTCTAAATTGACTAGCCCGCATCTACGGGCGTTACAATAACTAATATCCCGATGAGTAAATGTTAAGTAGTGGAGAGAACCCGCAAGTTGAAGGTATTGTGTAACCCCGTCGAGTAGTAAAGTGCCATCGATGGAACTTAATTTGGTATCGACCAGTGTGGAAGATGGGTGGCACAAGATCATCCTAGCCTTTTCTAAAATTTCAGTAGTATGTTGTTGTTGTGATAGGGAAAATGAATCTTTGTAGTGCGTCACTGAAATCCCAATAAAATAGCTAAGGGGGTCAAGATCTTTCATTTCAAATTCTTGAGCCAACAACTTCATAAAGTCGTGGCATAGAAGATCCGAAAAGGTAACAAGCAAAATGTCGTCCACATGAAGTAGTATAAAATCCATTTGAGCACCTTGTTTGTATACAAAAAGAGAGTGGTCACATTTGCTATGTTTAAAACCCAATGTAGACATGTAAGCAAATCGTTGATACCAAGCCTTTGGCACCTGTTTGAGGCCATATAACGATTTCTTCAGCAAGCAAACATGGTTAGGATAGCGACTATCACGAAACCCAGGTGGTTGATGCATGTATAGTGCTTCATTGAGATGTCCATGTAAAAAGGTAATCTTTACATGGAGATGATGAATTTGCCTTGCATGCGATAAAGCTATGTAAAGAACCGTACGTATTTTGCCGGTTTCACCACGGGACTGAAAGTTTCACCATAATCAATGCCTTCTTTTTAGGAACTACCATCACATACCAAACAAGCTTTGTATCGATCTAAAGAACTGTCAGATTTAGTTTTATGACGATAAATCCACATACTACACACAACATTCATGTTATTGTTTCACGGGACTAACTCCCATGTTTTATTGTCAATAAGGGCCCGAAATTCGTCTGACATGGCCTTATTCCAATCCGGGATTTCAAAATCATTGTGAAGGGTACGGGATAAAGGAGAGATATCGTAGTGTGAAGATTGAAATGTTTTTTAGTCTTAGAAATACCCAACATGCTTCGCGTGTGAACCGTATGAACAAGAGGTCGATGAGCAGACTGAGAGGGAGTAGAGGTAGGGATTATGAATGGTTCTCACTGGACCTGGGTTGATAATGATGGTTGGGTTGGGGTGGGGCCTACATGAGTAAGTTTGTAGAGGAGGGGGATGTGAGTTGGTGACAGTGAGATTGGAGTTGTTTGGGGAGGGGTTGGGATCAGACCATATGATGGGATGGGGATATAAAGAGTTATGGTTTGTTACGGTCGTGGGAGGTGTAGTGGGGAGATTTTTGAGAAAGGGAAAATAGTTTCATCAAATATAATATGACAAGTAAGTGTGATGGTTCGGGTTTGTGGAATGAAGCATTTGTACCCTCGATGGTTTGTTGGGTGCCTCAAAAAAGTACAAGGCGTGGATCATTTATTTAATTTATGGATGGTGGTAGAGGGAGTTAGGGGATAACATAAGCATCCAAGGGTACTAAGATGGGAATATTTCGATCGGAGGTTGTAGATAAGATGAGTGAGAGTGAGGTTATTAAGAAGTTTGCTAGGAAGAATATTTAGAAGGTAGGTGGCATGTTGTAAAGCGTGATGCCAAAAATTTAATGGCACGGAGGAACAACTAGTAAGGTTCGAATAATTTTATTGATTGAATGTATTTTTCATTCGGTTATGCAATTTTGGGGAAAGGTATGTGGACATGAAAAATAGAATTGAATACCATTTTCAGAGCAAAAATTATGAAAATGTTGATTATCGTATTCGTGGCCATTATCGCATTGTATAGTTTTAATGGTGTAATGAAACTGAGTTTTGGTTAAAGAAAAGAGTTATATGAAGGTTGGAAAGACTTGAGACTTTTTGTCAAGAGGATATGTCCACAAGAAATTAGTTTTATCGTCTAAGAATAATAAATAATAACGATAACCATTAAATCTCAATACAGGTGTTGTCCAAATATCTGTATGGATTATATTAAAAGGCAAATGTGTACTAGAATTAGAAATAGAGAAAGGAAACTTTGATTGTTTTCGAAACATGCATGAAGAGTAAACTGTAGATACATGTTTAGAACTAGAACCAAAATGCAAACAAGACTTTAAAGAAGATAAAATATTTGTGCCCGAATGACCAAACATAGGCCACTAGTAGTTGCAGCAACGGTTGATGGAGGTGTAACTTAGGAAGATGACATGAATATGAATGGGTAAATATCACTGATATTATTGCAACAGATGATGGGAGTCCGTGTCCGGAAGTCCTTCACATCAAACCAAATGGGTCAAATTCAACGGAATTATTTTTTTCAACAGTAATTCGATGAATAAATAAAAGGTTTTTAATTACGTTAGGTGTGTGAAGAACATTTTTAAGAAGTAAAAGGGGGAATGGATATGGGAGTGTTTGATGGCTTGTACCTTGGATTGAAATTAATAGTTGAAACATTACCTAGGATTATGTTCTGATAAAGACCATTATTGATGTAACACATGAAGTTACTTGAGTTATGAGTCATATGAGATGTTGCGCCACTGTCAACATACCAAATTTGATCAGGTGGGTGGAGGGTCATCATGTAGAACGTTTGCTCAGTAGGTGTGTAGCTTGCCTCCGAGGAGGTGTAGGCTTGTTGAGGTTAAGATCAACTGCCAAAGATACCAAGGCCATTAGGAGGAGGCTTAGAGGAGCCATAAGGTTGAGTCAGGTGTGGGCATGATAGGTAAGCCTATGGGGAGTAGTTAGGAAAAGCTTATGGAGGAAGTGTGGACCAGGGTTGATAGGGACGGGAACCTGACTCGTATGACGACTGATGAGGGTTGTTGTTTCATCCACATCCTCATTCGTTTGGGGATCCATCATTATATAGAAGGTGATGTATCGAATATAAGGTTGAAGAATAGGCGCTTAATCGGAAATCAAAGATTTGGTAGCTCCGATACCATGTTAATGGTATGCTATCTCTCGTGTAATTTATTATAATAATCATCAAAATATATATATACAAGAATGACCCTCACTATTTATGGATATACTATGAATATATAATATTTTATATGAAAAACAAACATTCCTTTATCTAAAGGATTAATATATGGTCTGATAGGTATATATATATATATATATATATATATATATATATATATATATATATATATATTATATATATATATATATATATATATATATATATATATAAATTTCGCCGTTACGAAAAAGCCTAATAATGTTGCTGTTAGGCGTGGCGTGTGGCAAGACGTGATATAGTGTGCCATGGCGTGTGTTTTTTTGTTTGAGACACGGTTTTTTTCTCTTTGTTATATATTTTCTAATTCGAGATACAATTATTGTGGTTTTTGTTAACTTTTTGTTATTAGTTATTGATTTAATATTTCTAAAAAATAATTATATTTAATATGAATTTATATTTATTTGGTAATACAATTTTAAATTAATACAAAATCGCCACCTTACACCACGCTTTGAAAAACATCATGACTCGTTAAACTTGAGGCTCGGCCTTACCGCCATGTCACGCCTCACGTCATTTAGAACCTTGATTTAATTTTGTGAGACCGTGAGACAAAATCTAAAAATAATTTTAAAATGCAAAATAAATGGATTAATCTGAAAATTATTTTTTTAAATATTATTTTCGTAACTTGAATTAACTAAAAAATTAAAAAAATAATAAAAAAAATTCCGTTTTTTTTTAAAAATACGTGAAATATTCTAATAGAATATTACACTGTACGTATTCTAAAAAATAATTTTAAAATGCAAAATAAATGGAAAAATCTAAAAATTCTTTTTTTTTAATATTATTTTCAGAACTTGAATTAACTAAAAAAAGTAAAAAAAAAAAAAAAAAAACAAAATCTTGTTTTTTTTTAAAAAATACGTGAAATATTCTAATAGAATATTACACTGTACATATTCTAAAAAATAATTTTAAAATGCAAAATAAATGGAAAAATGCAAAAAAAAAAAATTAAATATTATTTTCGGAACTTGAATTAACTAAAATAAATAAATAAATAAATAAATAAAATAAAAAAATACGTCTCACGGTCTTACAAAATTAAGCTGTCTTACATGAACCTAATCTTATATATATATATATATATATATATATATATATATATATATATATATATATATATATATATATATATATATATATATATATATATATAATTTCGATTTTTTCCACCATTTCCAAATTTTGTGACATTATAACCTCTTAAATTGCTATTTTTTTTATTTCTATCAACCCATATATTCTTTCCTAAAATTGTTTTTTTTTGTTTAAACACTACAATGATCTTTTATATTTGGAGTAAATCATTACTGGGTGTAATTCCTCAATCCATATCTCCTCAACATTTTTTCCCGCTAAACTCAATAAACATCAAAATTTACAATTTTGCCCTTATAATAAAATTCTAAATTGAAGTTCAATCGAAGTTCAATTTGCAACCATTTATTACATTTTTATCCCTATCGATCATAACCTAATTAATGGGATAACATTAAATTCATATCTTTTTCTAATCAATGTTTCTCCCCAAATGTAGGTACCTGACCACCCAGTGCATCAATAACAAAGGAATCAACCATATATAATAGCAACACAATTATAATTATTTACAGATAATAGCAACACACCTACATTTACTTACCTATAATAGCAACATGCTTACTTTATTTATCTACAATATTGTTTTGAAGAAGAAGAGATGCACAAGTGTTATCGTAATGACCCTTTGATATCAAACAATGCAGGTTATGGCGCCAATGAGTCCACACCTAAGGACACACAGGCTTTGGCTATCCAGCCTATATCTGTCCCCTCTCTTCTGGTGGACGAGTTGAAGGAAATCACTGACAACTTTGGTTCGGTTTCATTGATTGGTGAGGGGATGTATGGAACAGTATACTCTGGTGTCTTAAAAAGTGGGCAGGTTGCAGCTATTAAAAAGTTTGACTACTCTACAAAGCAACAAGACCAAGACTTTTTAGCTCAGATTTCTATAATATCGAGGCTTAAACATGATAATGTGGTCGAGCTACTTGGATATTGTGTAGATGGTGACTGGAGAGTACTTGCTTATGAATTTGCTTCACTTGGATCTCTACATGATGTTCTTCATGGAAGGAAAGGTGTTAAAGGTGCACAACAAGGTCCAATTCTATCATGGTCCCAAAGAGTTAAAATTGCTGTTGGGGCTGCAAAAGGGCTTGAATACTTGCATGAAAAGACACAACCTCGAATTATACATCGTGATATGAAGTCCCGTAATGTTCTGCTTTTTGATGACTATGTGGCTAAGATTGCTGATATTGATTTATCAAACCAAACACAACAAATGACATTACTTGTTCATTCCACTTTTGTTCTTGGTACCTTTGGTTATCATGCACCTGAATATGCCTTGACAGGACACCTGAGTCTAAAGAGCGATGTTTACAGCTTTGGAGTTGTTCTCCTGGAACTCTTGACTGGACGTAAAGCTGTTGACCATACTTTGCCACGTGGCCAACAGAGTCTAGTCAGCTGGGCAACACCGAGACTTGGTGAAGAGAAGGTGGAACAGTGTGTTGATGCTAGACTGAATGGAGAATACCCACCAAAGGCAGTTGCTAAAATGGCAGCAATTGCGGCGTTGTGTGTGCAGTATGAAGCTGATTTTAGACCAAAGATGAGTGCTGTTGTTAAAGCACTGCAGCCATTGTTGAACACTGCTGGACCACAAACAAAAGCGCCACACTAGTGAATTCTCCTCTACTTCTTGTGCTTAATGATGTTACTGTAGATCATCATGTGGGTAAATTTATCAGATATTGATGCATGATATGTAGAACCATTCTTTTGTTTGACCTGCGTAAAAATGTTCAAAATTCTTTTTCAAGAAACAAACGTTTTACCCATTTACAAGAAAATAAGTAAGAATCTGTTAAGCTGAAGGAAATTTCCAAGTTGTTGGTTAGAGATGAAACACATCTACCATGCCACAGAAATATACGTAGAATATATACTGTTACCCAACATAAACGCAATTGATGATGAGTGTCTATGATGAGAAAGTCAAGAACCTACTGTATATTTCTTCCACGGAATGTTTATAAACAAGAATACGATAACTCCAGAACATAGTTAGAAACCCCAAAATTCATAAGACTATAATTGTATTTATAGTTAAAAAAGGTCATATGGTACCAAAAAGATATATATATATATATATATCTATATATATATATATATATATATATATATATATATATATATATATATATATATATATATATATATATATATATATATATATATATATATATATATATATATATATATATATTCAAATTAATGAGAGCATGAAAACCAAAACAAATTTAGACCAAATAATTATTTAACTAAAATCTTAAAATAAAAGTATATAAATTAAAGTATGACTACAATCATTATCGAACCACCCAACCCCATCCCCCCCCTCGGATAGAGAATATAACTCTCTAAATCCCCTAAAATTTTGCGCTCAACCCAGTGTATTCACCATTTGCAGGTATACTTTCCTTATTGTCTTCTATATTTGAGTTATATTCTCTATATGATTCTTCAGTATAGTCTCTAGCTCTTCACTTGATATCAAAATTTCACGTATCATTTAGAACTACTATATAGCTGCTGATGATTAAATAATCATAGTAGAAATCATGGTCATCACATCTGTTGTTGAATCTACTATAACTATATTGGTCAAAACAAGGATTTATTTCTACAACATAACGGGGATAATTTATGCACTTGTAGAGAGTGATGAAGGGCAAGATCGACATTGAATACAAAACAGGACGTAGACAAGTGAAATTATCCATAGGTGCCTTACAATTTCTATTATCCACAAGTATTCTATAGCTTATAAGGGTAAAAAAAAGACTAGAAAAATGGGTGATTATGATTAAACCAACTTAAAATTTCCTATTATTACCATTTCGGTCTTGGTTTTTGTAGTACTGTTAGGAACATTTGATGTAGAAACTTTCATGTTGACTTGAAATATCCTATTACTCAAAGAATCAGAAACAAAAAGAAGTTATACACTATTCAGATTTTCATTATTCCAAAGTCGACATTCTTTCAAGATAAAATTGTACACGTCACAACGGCAGTCATCCAAGCAAGTTCTTCTGCATGCTGACTCATCCAATTCGGATATTGGAGTTTCAATTTCAAGAAATGTGGAATGATAATTGACTGGGACATAACCTTTAACGAACCCAGGTTTTTCTTCCATAATTCCACAATTAATTTTCGTTCATCTCGCACACCCACCAAAGGAATCACTCATATTCCAGTCATTCAGTTATTTAGGCTCAAAAGCATCTAAGAAACGGTGAGGATAAGGGGAAAACGAAACTGCCCCTTAGATTTATCTTGTCCTTTTTAAAAATTTATTTATCCACTTTGTATATTATCGAGCCTCCATCGAAAGCTTACAACATTATGAAAAAAATGGACTACCCTTATGAGGTAGGTGCTAATTACAGTTCTACCCTTGATTCGTCTAACAATTATCTTCACTTCCTACTTTGTGTTTCAGCATATTATTCATAGCATGAAAGATCCAAACATTTATGCATTTTGGTTAACCACAATGCCCCAAATTATTTGAGGATTTAAATGTGATAATAAGGTCAAACAGAAAATATGGTGGCAATAAAAGGTTCCTTTTTATTGTTTCAATTTTATTACAAAATTAAACATGAAAAATAGCTCCTTTTGTTGATACTATTGTTTTTATTTAGGAAAATGGGTAAGAATTTCATGCCCTCAAGCGGTGCCCTAAATCGCAGTTGTTCTTCTGTCTTCTATAATGTGGCACAAAAAATAGAAAAAAAAAGAGAGATGTTTGGAGAAAAAGGGTGCTAATGCTCAAGGAAGAGTGAGATATTAACTTTCTTTCTTAATTTTCTGTTTCTTATCAACAACATATAAGAAAACTCCATCCCCTATGCCTATATTACTTAAATTTGCATATAGGTACAACTACCTACAAATAAAATAAGTTATTGGTTTTTTCAGTGTTGAGTGTTGGTCTTATAGCATTGCAGCCTACAAGAGGATAGGGATGAGAATTTGGCCCGAAAACCAGAACCGAACCGAGAACCGAACCGAACCGAACCGAATTAGACCCGAATAAGCAATTCGATTCGGTTTTCGGGTATCTATATAAGGCTTATTTGGTTTTCGGGTTATTCGGTCTGGGTTACCCGAATAAGGGCTTATTCGGTCCAAAGAACCGAACCGAATATGAAGAGTCGTTTTTTCCCTTGCATAATTTACGTATTTGGTTTTGTAATCATCACAATTGATCCCCAAAAAACCAAATCGAAGATCGTTACCCACTTAATACACCAAATCGAATATTCTATTACACTAAATCGAGTCGACTACTTCCATAATGATGATTGCGACAATTTTGTTTGATCGACAGTTGCTGATTGCGAATTGCTCCTTCCGACATTTTTTTTGATTGACAATTGCTCCTTCAACATTAGTTTTTGATCGACATTAGTTTTTGATCGACTTTCGTACTTCAAACTTCTGTGAATCATCTCCTCATCTTGTTTTCTAGTTTCTACTCCATTTAATTCATGGAAAATTAGGTCCCAAATCAAGAAACACAAGTAAGAATTTGTATCTTAATCTACTAATCAATCTTTCAATGTGTTATTATGTATGTTACTCATTGAAAATTGGATGTGTTAATCAGCTACTCAATCTTTAAATGTGTTATTATGTATGTTATCAATTGAAATTTGAATGTGCTATGTTAACAGTTAACTTTTTTTTTTCTATAAGTCCAAGCAATAGGGACTTTGACCTTGAATAAGAGAATTTAATGAAAACAACCATATATGTTCTTTTACTTGTTTTATTCCATATTGATGGAGTTATTCGGGTTATATACTTATAAATATATTTTTGGGTGTTTTGAATGTTTAATTTTTAGTGTTTAATTTGTTTGTTTACAAGATTTGTTATGAAATCATAAGCTACAAAAGTAATACAAAATATTCGGGTTACTCGGGTTATTCCGGTTATTCAGGTTATTCGACTCATTAATCATCTTGTACATGTTATTTGGGTTATTCGGGTCGGAACCAAACCGAACCGAACCCGTATTACTTATTTGGTTCGGTTTTCGGTTCATACAATTACCCTTATTCGGTTTTCAGTTTATTCGGGTCGGTTCGGTTCGGTTCGGTTCCGACCCGAATAACATCCCTACAAGAGCATATTATGGTTCAAGATTTAAGTTTCAAGTAAAACATTGATATTAGTAGTAAAAATACTAAGTAATAGTTATGTTATATTATAGTATGAAGTTATAAAATTTATATAGTTATATTTGCAAATTGTAATATAGGGTAAAAAGAGCAACTTAATTTGATTGCCGACCTAGTTTTTTAATCGATCATATTAGAATATATATATATATATATATATATATATATATATATATATATATATATATATATATATATATATTTAAATATAAAAACTCATCATAAACAATTATTATACTGAATCTTATTTTTAATTATGTTCGATTTTTCGTATCACATTTTATATTATATTTGTATTAAATGATATTAATGACAATTCGACTCGAAAACCAACTTTTTCTCGACGTCTTTATTTAGTTACACAAATTTCGACACATGTGAATTTGAATCATGCATTCATGACTGCCAGTCGATCAAACTTCAAAGGGCATGCACGTGTATAGAAATAATATGTGATTAAATAAATATAATCACAAAGGATTAAATACATGAGACCAACTATTGATAGAAAATGCAAAAATAAATATTATCCACATTAATCATATGTGAGTAAATATACATAATCATATATGATTATATGAATCTAATCTCATATGATTTATAGGGACAAAAACGAATATTATCTATATAAATCATATGTGATTATGTACATACAATCATATGTTATTATATACACACGGACAACGATTGAATCACAAACGAAGACACAAATTTTTTTCACATAAATGGTTTGTGGCTATTGAATCAAAAACACGAAAATAATATTGTCCACATAAATCATATGTGATTAAATACATATAACCACAAGTGATTATACACATCTAATGACATGTGATTCATGTGGACAAGATTCAGTTTTTTGTTCTCATGTATTTAATCACATGTGATTATATATATCTAGTCACATATGATTTATATGGACAAAAATGAATATTTTCCATATAAATCATATGTGATTAGATACATATAATTACATGTGATTATATACACGTATACAACTATTGAATCAAGAATACGAAAACAAATATTCACCACATAAATCATATGTGATTAAATACATATGATCACATGTGATTAAATACACGAGAACAACCAATAAATAGAAAACGTGAAAATGAATATTGACCACATAAATTATATGTGATTAAATACATATAATCATATGTTATTAAATACGTATAATCATATTTGATTATATGTATCTAATCATATATGATTTATGTAGACAATATTGATTTTCACGTTCTTGATTAAATAATTGCTCTCATGTATTTAATCAAATGAGATTATATGTATCTTATGACATATGATTATACATATTTAATCCCATGTAATTATATTTATATAATCACATGCACAAGATTCGGTTCTACGTTCTCGATTTAATAGTGTTCTTTGTCCGTGTTGATCATATGTGATTAAG